TCTTAATATTAAATTAAAAGAAGTGTTTTCACTCCCTCCAAGTGAGGATTTTGCATTCTTGGATAGATTCACAGGTGGAAAGACCAACAAAATAAATAATATTATTGAAAGGGACAAAGAAAGAAAAATTACAATGTATCTGTTGATTTCAATATTTTATTCAAATGAAACATAACTTCTGATGTTAACCATGCACGAGTACCCCTCAATCTATATTCGAAATTTCAGAGATACAATTATATTATATTAAGGTCTTATTATTCTCTGAACGTATTTTCCTGAAGATTTACAATATTTTTTTTAATATAAGACTGGCAAAATTATCTTATAAACATTTCGGTTTGCATATTAAAAGTATTTGGTGAATTCGTGTTTTATGACCTCAAAATTCCAAGAAAATCATTTTTTTTTGTCATAGAATATCTAATCATTATGTCATTTTTTCAAGTCCATTAAATTTTAAAAAATCAACAAGTATTAACACACAGATAAAGAGTCTAATACACATAAAATCACCAATAATTATGAAATTCTATTTTATGACCCCAAAATGCTAAAAATAACGTGGTGATCAATCACTACTATTAATTATAAATTAATATATTTGTTAGCACTGTTTTTGTTTTTAATGGGGAAAATTACGTAGTTAGGTAAATATATACTAGTTAATTAGTCATTACAGTTATTGTTTTAGTTAATTATCATTCTTGATCAACATTCAATGATAATTACATGGGGTGCGATTTCGAGTTTGTATAATTCTCACGTTTGTATGGTTGAAAATTGCATAACTTTTGTATAATATAATTTGTATAATTGTTTAAAGTTCAGATTTTTCTGTTTGTATAAGTTCGTTATTTCGAATTTGTACAAAAATAACTCAATTATACAAATATACATGCGGATCATAGAAATTTGTAAATTATATAAACTCATGCATGATACAAATGAAAAAATTTAAATTATAGCTATATTACGTAAATATATAAATTATAGCTATAAAATATAATTAAATTTATTATAATGACTATTTACGAAAATCCATTTTATTAATAAGGCTTTGGTGGGCTATTTGGTGAACTATATCTCATTGTAATCTTCCTATTATCCGGACCATTGTCATGTCGAGCAGTAAGCCCATAACACAAAATGTAACATTTTCTTGGTTTTATTTGACGTCTGGTTTTGATTTAGTACAAAATTTAAGAATAAATAAAAATATAATTTTAAAATATTATTATTAATTAAATACATGTAAAATATTATAAATATATTCTAATATTATTATTTTAAGTATGTTATATGAAAAATTAAAATTAATTAATTTTAATTAAAAAAAGTGATTACAATAAAACTTAGCAAGTAATAGAAGAACGAATTAAGTAACGCAATTATTTCTTTTTCTCTAAAATAAATTAATGATGTAGAGTAAGTAAACTTAGAATTTTATATTATAGTATGAATATTTATTTCAAATATTAATGTATAAAGTTTTCAATAAAAAAGTAATAATTATATTTGAGCTCAATTAAATGCACAATAATAACAATATACTCATTATAGGCATGTAGCCTTTTAAAATGGATATGCAAAGATAAAATATATCTTGTTTTTATTAAGAAGAGAGAAAATAATTCTCGATTAATTTTCAACTCAATAAAAACTGTTCATAAAAAATAATAGAAGTAAAAACTTGATAAAATGACAATTCAATAAATTAATATATATAAAAACTACATAAATAATACAACGACTATTAAATATAAACAAATAGTTGAAACAACGATGAACCTATAAACGGAGTTTAGGATTCATTTGATTTCACTAAAATATTATAATATAAAGATTTAATATATATATATATATATATATATATATATATAATATATATATATATATATATATATATATATATATATTAAGAAGAGCCATGAGAATTGACGACCAATACCATATTAGTAATTTTAACATCATTTAAAAATAAAATAATAGTTATATAATTAATGTGTCAAAATGAAAATCTAGAAGAATTCATACATGTATAACTTTTGTTATGAGCCCATAAGAATATTATTGTAATTTTGTTTAAATGAAGAGTTTCTATTACTTAATTAATTTCTTACAAACAATAACAAACGTGTTTCGATATATTTTAGAAAGAAAATTTTGAACTAATTAAAATAAAATGAGTTTGAATAGTTAATTTTTTTTAGAAATACTTTAAAGGAATATTGTGTGAACATATTTTTAATATTATGTTACATAATATGATCACTGAATTCATATTTTGATTATTAAAACAGTCCTTAAAATGACGTATCAATAGTTTTTAATTAATTTGAAGAAAATATCAAATTTTGTGACTTAAAGAATGAACAATATTTGACTATCAAAAAAATAATAATTTGACAATATATCCATTGAAAGATTAAAAAATATAAAATTTTCATTTTTATATTTTCTTAATATCAAATATGATAAACTATTTAACAAAGAAAATTTAACATTCAAATCCTAATGAATATTGAAATTCAAACTAAAGAAAATGAGTAATTGAAAAATAAAGAAGAAAAAAAATTTAATAGAAAAAGATTTTGTTTAGAAATATAGAGGAAGAAAATTAAAAAAATTAAAAAAAAATCTGAAAAAAAGTATATTAGTTTTTTTTTAAGGAGGGGGGGGGGTTACTTTAGAGTTTTTTTCACGACATATATTAAGTGTAGTATCAAAAAAAATTTAGAATATAACATTAGGTTAATTGTTATTATATATAGAAATAAAGTTTCTTTCATGATTGTTTTTATTTTATTTTTATGGAGACAAAAATTGTTTTTTTGATAAATATATAATATTACGATAATTGTTATTATATATAGAAAAAAAGATGCATTCTTGATTGTTTATATTATTGTGAGTTAGAAATTAATTTTTAACTATTTCTATTTGTCGAAGACAATAGTAAAATGTATCACAAAATTTATCGATAAAGTCAAATACAAAAACATCATACTTAAGATGAAGCAATAGAGATTCGAAAGATTTTAAATCAATTTTTACAAATTAATTGATTAATGATTAGTATTTTATCAGATGAAAAGTTTATGGTACAAATATCACAAAAACAAGATAAATAACATTGTGAAAAATAGCTACCACTTGTGATATATATGAATTTTATACATTCCTTGAACATGAAATGTTTTAGCTCTTATTTTAAAGCAAATCTCTATTTCGTTGCTACAAAGAATTTTTTAGAATTAACTTTCTCAAAGGTTGTAAACAACACACTTATGTTGTATGACCTTTTGAAATAAATTATAAAGTAATATATTGAAATTTTTTACTAAAGAAAAAAATAATATAAAGTATAGATATATCATATCTTTGGAGGCTAATTATATCATATTTGAGAAACTTTCTCAATTACAAAAAAATCTTGAATTTTTCATTTCTTTCGAATATATTATTTGATTTTTTAATACATTGCAAATGACATATTAGAAGAGATAAATATGTATCCAAGAGAAAATAGATCGATCCAAGAGAAAATAAAATATATCTGAGAGTGAAATAAAAATATTTTAAATTATGAATTTATCTAATTTTCTCAAATAAAATATATGAAATTATATTTTATATATATATATATATATATATATATATATATATATATATATATATACCCCCATCTTGAACTGCTCTTTTCTGCCACCCATCTCACTTATCTTGCAGGCACGAAAAAAGCACTGTTTTTTAAAAATAAATAAAATAATAATTAAATTTAATATATATATTTACATCATTATCCTATTGTGCTTATCAAATCGAAATTTTAAAATTTAAAATTTAAATTATGATATAATGATTTTCAAATTAAAAATTATAACTAATATATTTAATAAAAAATTACAGGGTGTGTTTTTGAAAAATACTTTTCTGGAAAATAAATAGATTTTAGACTTTTTTTCTTATGTTTGGTTGGTGAGTAGGAAAAATTTTCCAAAAATGATATTTAGTGTTTGATTTATGAATGAAAAATGTTTTTGAGAGACATTTTTTATTTTTACTAGAGTAAAAAATAAGTTATGAAATTAAAAATATTTTTTAAAAATAAAATTATTATTTTTTAACGGTAGTGATGGTGATGATGAGGGTTGTGGATAGAGTAGGAGTGAATTAATAAAAATTTAAAGTTGATCGTATTTTTAGAAAACAAAATTAATTTTTTTGGAGGTTGAGGATGGATGGGGGGCTGATAGTGGATAGGAGTTTAAAAATAAAAATTTGAAGTTAAAAATATTTTAATAAAATAAAATTATTTTTTTGGAAAGGGATGGGATTGGAGGGTTGACTGGTGGGTGGGGGATCAGGGATCAGGTGAAAAAATAAAATTTTAAAATTAAAAATATTTTTTTAAAATTGACGTTTTTGTAAAAAAAAATGTAATTTAAAATTGGAGGAAAATTTTTGAAAATATTTTCTTTAATTTTTGAAGGAAAGTCATTTTTCTTAATTTTAAAAAAATAAATTAATTTAAAAAATATTTTTCAAAATTTTTATTCTAATTAAACATAAAAAATTAAAAATATTTTTAAAAAATATTTTTCTTCGTATCAAAACGCTCCTAATTCTTATTAAATTTCTGGATAAAAATATAAAATTTATACACTATGATTTGAAACCGCCATTAAATATTCATATCAAAACACTCCTAATTCTTATTAAATTTCTGGATATAAAAATATAAAATTTATACACTATGATTTGAAACCGCCATTAAATATTATCGGCACATGAAAGCAGACAAATGTAGAATGAGTCCAAAATGCTTGAAATGATGACAAAAGATAAGTACAAACATTATTAAATCAACTCAAAATACACAAACACCTTTTTCAGAATAGCAAAATTAAAATTTATTAAAAAAATAATATAATTTATACCATTGATATATATTAATGTTTTGTAAAATAGATTGTTGGATATAAATTTGGAGCTTTAGCTATCTTTCAAAGGGCCTACTCTCTAGCCAAAAAAAATAAAAATCATACTCTGTTCTTTTGTTTTTAAGAGTTCATGGAAGGTGACATTGGTAGCTATTTTTGGTAAATCTCTTATTATTCATTGGTCTCAAAATAATTGTCATATTTTATTTATCTCAAATTTACTTGTTTAATATATATTAAAATTATTTAATTTTAACTTTTTTACATGACTTGCTTTTTAATATGCAGGCGTCTTCAAATCAAGAAAAGGGGATCATGACTACTAATTAATTAGCAAATTAAACAAAGGTTCATTTATGGATAATCAGAGTTCTAATTGTCCATCTCAAAATTTCACACAAAATCACACAAATAAACCAATTTCATCCTTCTTAGGTTCTCCAAGAATCTTTAATGGCCTTTTGACCAGAAGTTTATCTGATATCGGGACTATTCGAACAAGTCGGGATCGACTATATGATACTGAAATTATCAGTAGCCCAAATTCCCTTCTTGATGACATGCAAAATCTTAATATTGGGAATCCTTTTGGTTATGATAGAAAATCACCAAACCCCATCACTAAAAATCCTCCAACTATTAATACAACTCCAAAAATCATGCCTCGATTTCAAACAAGTCAGGATCAACTGTATGATGTTGAATGCATTGTTAACTCAAATTCAACACTTGATGGCATGCAAAATCACAATCTTGGAAGCCCTTTTGGTTATGATAGAAAACCACCAAACCCCTTCACTAAAAGACCTCCAAATAACGAACTGAAATCAGAAATTATCACGTCTCAGTTTCAAACAAGTCTTAGTTACGATAGAAAATCACAAAACCCCATCACTAAAAAGCATCCAAATAGCAAAATGGAATCAGAAAGTATTGGACTTGCTCTTATTGATCCTAAAGTAACTAGTGAAAAGTTCCATGTCCTATTTGGAGCAAAGTTAAAAATAGAAATCCCTTGTTCAATAATTGAGGTGAAAAATAATACTTGTGAGGATTTAGATGAAATGGAGAGTTCAGAGGACTACACTTGTGTGATTACTCATGGTCCTAATCCAAAAACAACTCATATATTTGATAATTGCATCATTGAGAGGTGTTGTGGAGTTAGAAAGTTTAGGGAGAATTCTTGCAAAGTTGATCATATAAAGGGCAAAGACATCTAACATGTAAGTGCGTGTATGAGAAATAAATCCTCCTTTTTCTTGTTTGTACGTTTATAATTTTTTCTAGATCGGATTTTGTTGAATCGAGGATGTATCGAAAATAACCTCTTCTAAAGTAGAGGTGAAGTCTACCTAGCTATATTCTATTATCAGTATTAGAAATGGAAGTTTTTTTCGACTGTGAATCAAAGAAAAAATTATGCTATAAGATATGACTTTTATCATTTAATTTACTACCGGACTAGCTCACTTGAAAATGCATGGTGGAACATAGAGTGTCACTGAAATAGGTGAAGGTTTTTTGATTTTGTCTATGAAAACATTACTATTACGGTAAAAAAAAAATGATTATGAGCAATGTCACTCTTGTACGTGTTTCTAAGACTGGCAAACGGACGGGATCGGGTCAACAGGACCGGTTTTATCGGTAGCCGGATCAGTATCAATTTTTTCTTACCGGATTTTCTTACCGGTACCGAATATTACCGGACCGGTTTTATCGGAAAAGTCTCCCTGTTCCGCCCGATCCATTAGCAACCGATTTGGAATCGGGTCTTACTGGTTCTTCCGTTTTTTTTAAAATTTTAATTATTTTAATTATTACATAATATTATATATTTATATTAAAACTTCAATTAAAAACTTTAAAGTTTATATAAGTTTGAAATTAAATTTATACTTTAAAGTTTATATTGAATTTAAAGTTTTATATTGAACTTAAAGTTTTTTAAACTTTATATTGAATTTAAAGTTTGAAATTAAATTTAAACTTTAAAGTTTATATTGAATTTAAAGTTTTAATATAAAATTTTATTAAAATAATTAAAAATTAAATTTATAAAATGACATGAAATAAATAGAAGAGACTATTATAAAAGAAAAAATCAAGGCGAATAGCCGTATATTTATTCAAATAAATAAATTATACAATACAAATATTAGAAAGAGAATAAGAGTACATAATTTAGGAGGAATTGAATAGTAAATTAGTAATTATTATACTAACAATTCAATTTTTTTTTAAATTCTTTTTGTAAATTTTGTATCATTTGAAAAGAAAGATTTTTTGGAATTGGCATTTGTCGTTCTTCTTCCATTGCTTCCATGTCATCATCACTATTCTCACCAAATATTTCATCTATTTGGTCTTCTATATGGCTACTTAATAGTGGTAGTTCGGTGTTTCTTCTTTTGGCATTGACCCAATCTCGAAACAACACCGATATTTCCAAACTGTCCTTTGCTAATGAATATCGATGATCTCCAATCATAAATCTCGCTGCACTAAAGGCTTGCTCCGAAGCGACCGATGATGCTTGAACCGCTAGCACATCTCAAACAATCCTAGAAAGGGTCGAAAATTATTTTTCACGATTCTTCCACCAATTTAATATTCGAGGTTGAAGTTCTCCTTCGTCACGCCTAATCTTTTCCCGTGCCTGGTTGAAATATAAATCAAAATCA